ATTTGCTGCTCTTTTCTTGTAAGCAGCCGATTGAATGAGACAATGCAATAAAGACATGTAGTAGTGTTATAGATCTGAGAAAACAGAGACAGGATTTCCAACCCTTTTCAAGATTTTTAAGTCATTTCCTCTATTGCCGCTTCCATTGCTGTGGACAGATGTAGGCTTTGTAACTTTAGAAAGTTCTAAAATACACATTAAGCTAAGTAACAAACAAAAAAAATTGAAAAACACAACAGTCTTTTTATAATGGTGAAGGAAAAGGGACTGAATGCTTGTACTGTTCTGCAGGCACAGGATGACTCAGCAGCCTTCGGTCTCTCAGGAACACAGGCTGCCTGTTAGCACTCAGCTAATAAGATGCCCGCCTGAGCTGATGCATCAACATCCTACCTGAACATTGCAGAAAGAGAGTGGAGAGGAGAAATGGCAAGGGACAAGAGATGCAGACGTAGATATGAAAAAGAAGGGGAGGGGTGTCTTCAAGCTGAGTGCACCTGTCCCTAAGCACAATCTGCTGTTCTTTCTCTTTGCTTAGGGTCCAATTAAACCACTCATACACTTCATACTGTATTACACAGCACTTTATCTTGTACCGTTGAAGTTATGTCACTAAAGTGGGGATCATATTTACTGATAAATATTTATAGGGGAAATGTATGGTCTACACAATACACACATACATAAATCACAACCTATGTTTATTTTTTTAGCAGAGTTACTTTGCTTTAGCTTTTCTTGGCCTTCCCATCTTACGAACACTAGCTGTAGGTGAGTCATTGCTGGAGAAACTTTGGTTTAATGTAATCCTCAATATTCAAGCAACAAGCTTCTTAACCCTGAGGCAGATCTTGCATATGAATGCCACATCGTAGTTGGGGCTGTCAGGGATAAGGTTTAAATGCCATAGTGTCAGAATTGATTTAAGATTGATTATTTTTCATTTGCAGTTTATGTCTTAATAAGTATAGGTATAGCTGTAATGCTGACGTCCAACATGCTAGCAAACTGTGCTTCTCAACCCTAGACAGCTGACACCAATGAATAACATCTCTTTGCTGTAATTTTCAGGGCAAGGGTTTACATACCACCTTCAGGAACTTTTGTGTCTCAACCACAAACCTACAGTGGCTGACAGGTGCGAACGCACAGCAAACATGCTGCAAACACATGAATGATGCAAACTCCAAAGCACACAAACACAAAAATCCAATGTGACAGAAAAACGGCGCAAAAGCAAAATGCTGCAATCATAGAAAATCGACCGAAGCAAAAGGAAGAATGTTGCAAATACGAAAAAACAGCAAGTCAATAAAAGTGGTGAAAACTCTCCACAAAATGGAAGTGCGCCAGACCACTGGAGGGAGTTGATTACTAATATTACTGGCTTAAATATGCTGCTGTTCTATAATATTGTAAAATATTGCAACTTGCATCATTCATGCCTGTGCAGTGCGTTTTTGCTGTTTGTGGCAAGTTTAGCCGTTTGCTGCTTGTTTGCACCTGTCGACCACTGTACAAACCAGTTGTTTTACTTTCTTTTTCCATGGGGACAAATCAAACAAGCAAGATATCCTCAATAAATATTGTTTTTAGATTTAACCATTTTAGCATAATTAAAAAAGTGGTTGAAATGAAACAAATATCTGTCTTTTAACTGGCAAACTTGCACACCTTCTGCTCAGGAATATTGATCAACTCACATAAAATATATAGTTTTTGTTAAATTCTAGTCTAGATTTGGCAATTATTTTATAGATCTGTTGTCTTAAAACAGAAATACGCACCACGTCCAGAATGTACACTCTCTGAAGGCCCAACACTTGCAGATATATCTCTGTGAAATAGAAATTTTCAGTTTTTCTGACAGAGTCAATAAAGAAAACTCAAGGGGAAAACAGAAGCAGAGGACTAAAACTGAAAAGTTGTGAGGCTATTTCTTGCTGTTGGTTTTCCGTGTAACTTGTGACATGATGTTTGTGTTCTTGTACTGCTGAAACCTCACATGTCAACGCTGGATTTGGCTTCAAACACTCATTCATACTGACAGAATTTCTGATTATTTTGTATACCCGTTTGGCAAACTCCAATGTTCTCATGGCTGCAGTGTAACTACACACTCCTTGTTGTCATGAATAGATCAGGCATGGCACAAAAGTTGGAAAAACTTTGATTTCTGGTTCCTCTGCAAACCTATCTGGAAAATAAAATCAAATTAACTCAAGTAACTCAAAATCAACGCTTATTTTCTGCAGCTTAAACAGCCATAAAAACATTTTATGTATTGTGTGCCATGATTTGTGAAAACCTCTAAATGCTTACTAATATGGACTAACCTCTTACTTTATTCACTAGGGACTCTGAAAGTGTCAAAATGGTCAAATAATTAATGTACTAGTCTAAGTATAAAGAGAACAATTTCTGTAGGCGGGTGTACAACTAAATGCAGTGTCATGATTTATGTGTGTTTGTGTTTTAGTTTTCTTTTGTGTTGGTTTTCTGATAATTCCTTTGTTGTTTATTATTGACATTAGTATCTTGCCATGTAGGTTCATGTCTTGTGTTAGAGTTCTGAGTTATTCATTGTGTTCTGATTTCTGTGCATTTTGATTTATTCTCTAAGACTAGTGTTAGTCTTTTTGATCCTTGGTTTTTGGCTGTGCCAAACTCTGTGCAGAAACCAGCAACCAGTGGGGGAGGGGCAGGGCCGCATTGCTATTGTTAATTTCAGCATTTTTAGGCTAACAAGTTGTCCATTAGCTGTAAATGCTTTTGATGGTAAACCAAAGTACAGCAGAAATTCCGTTTTTAAGCTGATAAAACCCTATTTCACTTCTGCAAACTAACAGATCTAGCTTAGATGTTTTGCTTGATTCCTGGAGATAAGCTTGGAAAACTAATGTTTGAGTAAAACGTAGCTTTATTGTTTTAATGAAAAGGAGAACCACTGCATAAAATGGCTCCCAATTTACTTGATCGAAAGTTGCACACCCTTCTGAAAATCCAGATGGAACTTCTCAAATAACCACCAAGGCTCATCAGCTGATTAGGCTTCCTGCTTGCAGAGAAAAACAATCTGCAACAGTGAAGCAGGAACGCTTGAAGGTTGTCTTTGTAGCTGTGACTGGGAGATGAAGGCAGTGAAAATCTGGAGAGCTGCATTCGCCTCATGAATTATAATGTAAGCTGTCAGAGTGCATGTCTCTGGGAAGGTAAGTGTCCAGTTCATGTCAGGACAGGGCAGCCCAGGGCTTAATTACAACTCCACCTATTAGAGGACACACACACAGACACAGAAAACGCAACACCTTTCTTGAAATCAGGGTATGAGGATCCTGCTTTTTTTGTTTTTGTTGATTTGCATAAACCTCGCATATAAACTGAATTTCTAATCACAACAAAAATCACAACACATCATGTGCTAACATCAAAAGTCTTTGAAGCATACATTGCATTATAGTGCAAACACACAGCGCACAGTTCTCCCCTCCCTCTCAACCTCTCTGCCTTAGCTATTCTCTCTGAACCTGTGGAAATGCTCGAGTGTGTAGATATGATTTTGTTGGCGTCTTAATCACGCATGACTGTGCCTGTGTGTGGGCTGCTGTGAATATACGCTGTCTGTAAATAGCAAGTGACAGTAGGTACCAGACCAGAGCAAGGAGGCCCCCCCAAACAGGCAGGATGGTGGTGGGAGGAGGAGAGGGCGCTAGACGGCATAGAGGACCCCAGGGCCTTTCCATGGTGCTGGGCAGGACGTGAAGGTCATGTCGCTAAGCATCAGATCAGCTGGGCTGTTGACCTGGGCGGGGCATGTTTCTGGACTGCTCAGAGAATGGTATCATTATGTGCTCTTGAGGGATCTTAGTATTTCTTTGTTCTTTTAGTTCAGGCTAGTTAAAACCTTTCTGTTGAAATATAAAGATAGGAGATATTTGAGTATATACTACCTTGCCCTTTAACCTTTTCACATTTTATTATGTTTCAACGATAAACATCTACATATTTTATGAGGAATTTCTGTGATAGGCCAACACAAGGAAGCACAGTATTTTGAAGTCTAAGTTAAATGAAAAATGTCTTTTTAACACTTTTACTTTACAAGTAGAATGTTTGCATTTGTGTTTATCACCAATGTCAATCCTTTGTAGAACCACCACCAACCTTTCCCACAGCATGATGCTGCTACCACCATTTTTTCACACACTAGCTTTTGCATGAATGCCAAAAGGATTAATACTGGCCTCCATGTGTTTGATGACTCCTACATAGGTTGTGGCATACTGCAAGTGGGACCTTTTTTAACAATGGTTTTCTTCTTGCCACTCTTAGATAAAGGAAAGATATGCATGGCTAATATGTGTCCTGTTAACAGATCTTCACACCTGATCTGTGGATCTCTTTTGCTACTCCAGAGTTACCATGACTGCATCTTTGAAAATTGCTGTCTTTTCCTGACCCCTTAAATTAGATGGACTACCATGTCTTTGTAGGTTTTCTGTTGTTCCATACTCTTTCCATTCAGATAACAGATTGAACAGTGCTCTCTGAAATGTTCAAATCTGGGGGTGCTGTTTTATAACTTAATATTGTGCAATGTCTCTTACCTGTCTGGTGTATGTTTTAGCCTTTCTGGAGCTTTTTGTTCTTCAGTGTTTTCCAACACACCTCTGAAGCTGTTGCAGGATAGCTGTATTTATACTCAGATCACTTTTCACAGGTGAACTCTTTTATTAATTTCGTTGCACTGAATTTTATTTAGAGGTATTAGAATAAAGGGGGCTGAATATATATCCATACTTTCAGATTTTTATTTGTAAAAAACCTTGTAAACCATGCGTCATTTTCCTTTCCCCTTACAGTTATGAATTTGTGCTGTTCTATAGACTTCCACTAAAATACATTGACCATGTGATGCAAGTTAAATGTTAGCTACTGTTTATTTTGTAAGTTGACCAACAGGAAATGAGATGGACAGAGAGGGGAAGACATGCAGCAAAGGTCAACGGGCTGGGACTCGAACCCGTAACTGCTGCCTCAAGGACTGCAGCCTCGGTAAATGGGTAGTGCTCTTTACCACTGCACCACCGCCACACCCTGATGTTTGCTACTGTTTAAAGTTTATTAAACCTTTCTTCAGATTCTTTTTAAAACCCTTTAAGCCCATCTCTTTACGCTCAAAGACAGTCTGAAGTTTCATCATATGTCGTTGAGCCATCTTGTGAGATGCACTGTCAGCTGTGCCTTCAGCTCTGGTTACTGGATAACCAGCATACACTGAACTGGATGGTTCTCAGACAATAAGCAGAGTGGGACTTATAGCCTAGCAAAGATTTATTTTACCTTTTTTATACAAAGAAATGCGTTTACTTGTTAAGAGCTTTTTTCACTAGTTTCATCTTTGTTCATGGGACCAAAAAGCAGGATGTAGAAAAAGTTTCATGATGAGGGCATGAAGGACAAACAAGGCAGATAGACATGATAAGGTAGGCGGAAGTTGTTTATATGGTGCATTTGAATAATTGTGAGATGGCAGTGAAGCACAAACTGGAGAACAAAAATCTACCATCAACAGAGAAAAAAATGGGTGACAGTCAGGGAAGGAACAAGGGTGAGGTGGCAGGTATACATGTAGCAGGGATTAGTGGAACTGGATAAAGGTAAGATGGGTGTATGAGTCAGATGACTTAGACAGTCTGAAGATGTCTGGTGGGTGGAAATAAAAACATGCCTCAGACATGAACTGTAGCAGATGTACACCCCTGATCTTTCAGCAGCTAAGAAGACAGACATTTCCAGGCAGGAAACACAAAACTTCGCTAAGAGTAGCAATCAAGTTATAAATGGACAGAAGTTCAACTGGAAGTTACGAGAGAAGTGTTGCTAAATGTTGCTGAGATAGTCTCATGTACTACACTTGACAATGCTACGGTTGTTGCCGTCTCCAATAATCTATCAAAGGGCCCTTCAGCTGCAAAGAAATACTGTAAGTCTGGGGCCTCTGACCACTTCAGCTACAATAACCTTCATTCATGCAATTAATATTGTTACAGTGTGTACAGGGCTGGGGGCATGGATTTGCCCCCTTCCAGATTTCCTGTGTTTTTGCTGTAGTGTGACACTTAAATGTTTCAGACCATCAGGCAAATTTTACAATCACACAAAATAAACTTGGTGCATGGGAGAAAAAAAGTAAAAAAAAAACTCTTTCTCACAAATACCATTTTGCCCGGTCTTTTTCTTATTGTTGAATCATGAACACAGACCTTAACTGATGTAAATGAGGCCATGTTGTTCTATAACCTCCTGAATGAGTCATTGATGTGCTTTTGATGTAATCTGGCAAGCTACTGGGAAGGTTAACCACAGTTTGTGGATCATGCCTCTTACTGTGGGTCGCTGGAGTCCCAAAACTTAGAAATGACTTGTAAATGTAAACTTTTCCAGGGTAATAGATGTGAGTGACTTTGTTTTTTATATGTTCTTGAATTTCTTTACATAGGGGCATGCTGTGTTGCATTTAGAGATATTTTAGCCTGCTTCATGTTGTCAGACAGGTTTTACTTAAGGACTTTCTAGATTCTACGGGTCTGGCATTCTCGGGCCTGGGTGTGGTTGGTGAAAATTATCCAAAAAAATGAAGTTAATAACAGGTCATTCGTATTTAAAACAAATGTTTTGCACTTGTATAGTGATTTATCAAGTCTGAGAACTCCACCGCACTTTATGCTACAATCAGTCATCCTCCCATTCACACACTAACAGTGGTAAGCTACATTGTAGCTTACCACTGCTGGCCCAGCTGCTACGTAAAGTAGCTTTATAAAATAAAAGTGTCACAAAATAAAACTGCATTATGAAATAAATAAATAAATAAATCTTTAAGTAAATTAAATAAATCTTGAAATGAATTAAATAAAATAAGATGAAAATTTCTTTGAACATAATTATTTTGCTTTATTTCATGGGGATATTTATTTATTTAATGGAATATTTATTAATCATTTATCAGTAGCAGTATTTATTTATTTAATTTTGAATGAAACGGCTCTCCATATGTGTTGACGAGGTAGAGCGTATGCACCATATACAGAGGCTATGAGTCCTCAGCACAGCCTCCAAGGTTTGATTAACAACCCTGGGATCTTTGCTGCATGTCTTCCCCCCTCCCCTTTCTGCCCATTTCCTACCTGTATAGTGTGAAAAGCGATCACAAGTCCTACAAAATAAATAAAAAACCTTATTTGTTAAGAGAAACATTCATATTGGAAAAATTTGAGGGAGTAATACATTTTGTTTAGTTCAAAGACAGGTAATATAACCTGCCACCTGTAGGGCGAGCTACTTTTAGAAAGAGTCACAAGCTTCTTTAATAAATAATTTGAAACTTTATAAAGTCCTCAGTATATCCAGAATATTTGGAGCTATGTGCCAATCTGATTTTTTGCATAGTTTTCTTAGTTTTTTCATTCTACTTTTTTTTTGGAAAAATTTACTTTTGTGAATTACACCGAGTGAAAAACTGCTGTGCTGAACACAGCATCATATTTTACCAGCAGAGAGCTCTAAGAGATGAAAGTGGGGTTAGAGAGAAAAAAAAAATGGATGCAGAGAAAGAAGCACCTTCTTGACTGCAGAACAAAAGGGCAAAAATCCCTGCTTGATTTGTTTGTTTAAAGTTACCTCCGAACTTTCCCCTAAAGTTCCCTCAGAGGGAGAGAAAAATGTTTAAACTTGTGTGTATGTGTGTGTGTGTGTGCGTGTGTGTGGGTGTGTGTGCAAATCTGTCAGTGATCGTCAAGTCTCCCCTCCACCAGTTTAATAAATAACCATTCCAAAAAAATGCTCACTTTACTTACAGGTCAATTTCCCCTGCAGTCAGACAGAGAGGACTCCCCGGGGAGAAGGGAATGAGGCAAGGCGCTATGACTGCTTTTCCAGAGAACATAGAGAGGCGCTGTGGAAGAAACAGCACTCCATGACTCACCAGCCACAAAAATATTTTTCACTTTACCTGCTGCTATGACCCTTCTGTTCCAAGTATGGCTTCTGCTTCCTGTGATACACCAACGGATCAGATGTGATACACATGATCTCTGCAGCAAAGCAACTGATTTATTATATAGCTGCAGGAAAATTTAAACAATTTTATGTTTTGTGAGTTGCTGCTAAAAATATTGTACTGAATAGCCACAATGCTGGTGGCTTAGTTTGGTCAGAAATCCATTTTACTGTCCTCATATACTACTGGAATCAAGATGATAAAAAAACATCTGAAAAAACACAGTTATTACATTTATTTAATTATTCTTTAATGAAAAGATTTCCTTGGATCACAGCAGATTTTTTTTACCTTCACTTTATACGCATCTCTTACAGTTGCTCAACAGCTTTTAGCACATATGCCCAAGTACAGCGTCCTGTATTAGCTCTAGCTGCTTATCAGAGTCAGGAGAAATTTAAAGGGAAAAGTTTCATGACTGCTCTACATCATGTCTATAAATTGGTGAGAAAAAGGTCAATGGCTGAACGAGGATATCTCCTATGGTGCTGTGTGCCAAACCCCCTGATGAGTGATGACAGGTGTGAGTGGACGCAGACCGAGGGCAGCGAAAACAGAGCTGGGTTCACCTGAAGGTAGTGGCCGCTGTCTCAACACTGCCACAGGGATTATTGCCTGACCTTGATGGCAAATACCACAGTGTTTGTTGAAATGCATGTATATGTGCTTGATGTATCATTCCCATCATTAACAAGTAAGATGTACTGTAACATGCACTGTAACATGTATTACAGTGCTGTAAAGAGTATTTGCCCCCTTACAGATATGTTCTGTTTGGGCTTTTTGTCACACCTAAACGTTTCAAGTAAAATTTGCACTTTTCTTGTGAGGATTTCATTTATTAAGTGAAAAAAAGTAATCCATCTCATTACCATTACAAATTTTGACTATCATATGGTATTTTTTTAAAATGCTGTGTCAGTTTTATGCCAGATGTAAAGGGACGTACACCATTCAAAAGATTCTACGTTTGCCTTGGCAGTCTACAGAACGTTTTCCCAAAAGTCTTGAGGATCATTAAGATGTATTTAGGCCCTTTCATCTTGGAGCTCTTCCATGGATACCATTTTCTCCAGTCTATATCTTGGGCCATGGGTGTTTGGTTTTCATTTGTGTTTGTGTTTTCCTCATTTTCTTGTTGTTTATTTGTGCTTTTTCAGGTCTTGCCATATTCAGTTCATTATTGTAAGTAAGGTGTTTCCATATTAGTTCAAAGATTCAAGGAGTTTTATTGCCATGTTAAGGTACGAAATTTGGACTCAGGTTCCGGTTAAGAAGCCTAATACTTAAGTAAAAAGAAAACTAAGTATAACATAAAGAGATGTATCTAACAATAAATAGCAATCAGTAAAAATATTTACAGCAAAGAACAAAAAAATGAAATATATACAGTTAAATAGTGAAGCTGAAATTAAGTTTGCAAAGTATTAAATACACATGTAAAGCATAAAGTAGTCCTTGATATTGTGCCTATAAGTGAGTGAAATATTGCCTTTCATTCCTTTGTGTTTAGATTTTTAGTTTATTTTTGTGGTCTGTTCTTTGTACATTTGGATTTAGTTCTCTCAGTTTAGTGTTAGTCTTTTTCTCTTGTTTAGATGTTTTTTTGTGTCTTAGTTTAGCTCCCTCTGTGTTAATTAATCTCCCTCCCCCAGTCTCCCAGCTTTTCTTCTGCCTCAGTTGCTCCATATTATCCCATGACTAACTCACCTGCTTTCAATGGCATATTTAATCTTTTGTTTTCCATTTGTACATCACTCAATTCTTCTGTTACTCTGTTGACTGCCCGTTATTTTCCCATTGTTTATGTCTTTGCTCGTGGACCTGTTGTTCCTGTGATTCCTCTGTAAGTTCTCTTCTTATGTATTAAAAGTATCTCATTATCACAGTCTGCTTCTGCACTTGGGACCTTATTCACAAACATAACAGTCTCTTTCTTATCGTTGATTCATGAACACTGACCTTAACTGAGACAAGTAAAGCCTGCAATGCTTTAGATGCCTTTCTGGGTTCTTTGGTGACCTCCTGGATG